AAATCTTAATTTAGATTTAATTAATTACATTTAATTTATAGATCAAATCATGCAGTATGTAAGAAGTTTAGAACAAAGAGTACAACAATTAGAAGATGATAAACGCACATTAACTCATAAAATAAATCAATTGGCAACATCAAGTGGTGATCCAACCGTGGCAATTCCACAAGATTCAGGTGGAGTTTTATTCGGAAGACCTGAAGCCGTAGTAAGGGCTCTACAAGTATTGGAGGTTAGAGAGCAATTAGAACGTGAAGGAAGATTAGAAAGGAATGAAAACATGTCCGATACACCTTCAGCTGATATGGACGATGGGGAAAAAGCTTTGGTACGCGAAATGTGCAATGTAAGTCGTTTCAACAATTAAAAGCGTTAGATTAATATGATTTTCGTTTAGGTTGTATGGAGGAAATTAGAAGAAGGACCCCAATCTCGAAGATAAATCTTAAAAAATTGAAATAGAGGTTAAGGAAATAATAATTAGTTTTATTTTGTATATAACATAATTCAAAAAGTATTATTGTATTTTATTATTCATATTTATTAATATTTTTATGTCGTATTTTATCCTAAATGTACAAATTCAAGAATTATAACAATAAATTCATATTTTAAAGATTTCCCACCATTAAATGGTACCAACTTAAAAAAAAATCCTAAATGAAATAAAAATAAAGTGATTAATGTTAAAAAAAAAGGTGTGAATTAAAGTCGTTTTTGATATTGTTTAATAATTAGAATGAATAAGGAAATATTTTAAATTGGATTAAATAAATTATTATTAATAATTAATTTTCCCGCTTTTAAATATTTCAAAGATGGCTGACGTTCAATGTTTTCTCCCACTTCCTTCCTTTTTCTAACATGCGCAGTCTGGATATTATGCGTTACTGTCTCATTGGCAACCACATAATAGATAAATAGATTCATCGATAAAGTGTTATAACATAGGCAAGTACAAAAAACATACTCAAAATCCTTTCTTACACAATTCCAACAAATAAATTATAGATCGAAAATCACCCATTTCCAATCGCCGGACGTTCTTGTAAATTCCAACCGCGTGATTTTACACGTTTTCAATCGGAAGCGTGTAATCAGGGGAACCTGGTACTCAAACAAACAAAAAACTTATTTCACGTATTTCGAGTTTATCAAAAGCCGTCAAACTGTCGGACGAACAGGAATTCGAGATGCGCGACAACGACCAGCTGGACGGCTCGCCGAAGCCCCACAAGAGTCGTAGCCGAAGCACCTCGCGAAGCAGTAAAGCGAACAGCAGGAAATCGATGGGTAGCAGGTCAAGTTATTCCCGATCGAGATCGAGGAGTCGCAGTCGTGATGAAGACGGTTACAGGCTTCATATTGCAGATATCGGTGAAAACGTACGCAAATCCGATCTAGAGAAGTTATTCTCACAATACGGAACCTTGAAAGAGGTTTGGATGACCAATAGCTCCCCTTGTTTTGGATTTGCTGTTTACAAAGATAAAAAATCTGCTAATATGGCTTTAAATGAAGCTGATGGAGTGTAAGTTATTTATTAAGTATAGTAAAACCTTGATATAACGGAGAAAATATTTTTAAGTTGTACTATTAATATTTATTTAATATATTAGTATATTATTTAAATGTTAATGTTGGCACTCATAGATAGAATCAAACTTGGGTTATTCTCCAAGTTGCTCTATTATATAGAGTATTTTTTGAGTTGTCTATATGATGTATAAATCAAGGACAGGAGTTTTAGTTGTTATTCAGTGCTAGATTATTATATGTTTTTCTTGGACTAAAAGTAGAACTAGCACTAGACCTAGAAACATTCAGGTTTAGCCATACATCTCTTAAGATGGCTAAATCTGAATGTTTCTAGGTCTAGTGTTAATTCTAGTTTTAGTTGTTGGTCAGTGCTAGATTGTTATATGTTTTTCTTGAACTAAAAGTAGAACTAACACTAGACCTAAAACTAGAAACATTCAGGTTTAGCCATACATCTCTTAAAAAGGCTAAACCTAAATGTTTCTAGTTCTAAATTTAGTGTTAGTTCTAATGCTAATGTTTATTCTAGTTTTAGTTGTTATTCAGTTCTAGATTGTTGTATGTTTTTCTTGAATTAAAAGTAGAACTAACACTAGACCTAGAAACATTCGGGTTTAGCCACACATCTCTTAAGATGGCTAAATCTGAATGTTTCTAGGTCTGGTGTTAATTCTAGTTTTAGTTGTTATTCAGTGCTAGATTGTTGTATGTTTTTCTTGAACTAAAAGTAGAACTAACACTAGACCTAGAACTAAAAACATTCAGGTTTAGCCATACATCTCTTAAGAAGGCTAAACCTGAATGTTTTTAGTTCTAGGTCTAGTGTTAGTTCTTGATTTAGTTGTTATTCTGCGTTAGACTATTGTATACTTTTATTGAACTAAAACTAGAACTAACACTGGACCTAGAACTACAAAGTTTTTCTAAGAAATGTTTCTAGATCTAGTGTTAGTTCTAATTTTAATTGTCACTCAGCGTTAGGTTATTGTATATTTTTAATTGTTATTCAGTGCTAGGTTGTTGTATATTTTTCTTGAACTAAAAGTAGAAATAACACTATACCATTTCAAGTTCAAATTGGCACTAATCAAACTCAAAATGGCATTAAACAAAACCAATTTGGCGACTGTCATAATCAAATTGGCATTAATCAAAGTGACATTAATTAATTTTTCGCCTCCCATACCTGAAAGTAAATCATATCAGCCCTAAAAAAATAACTGAAAGGTAGATTTTCGGCCCTTGGGATTCTAAACTCTGAACGTCCCTACTTTATAGTTTTTCATCACAATCTAGTTAGTCTTCATTGACATTTGCGGACATTTTTGACGTTTCTCATAATTTTTTTTATTAATTGATTTATAAAATTAGTTTTATTTTATATTTTTGCAATTTTGTTTGGTTTAATGGGAGGCGAAAAACAGTTGTGTGTCACACGTGCAGAAATGCATTAGCAGCCCATATCTATTAGCTGCCCTCGCTTCGCCTCGGGCTGCTAATGCTTATTTTCTGCCCTTGAGACACAATATACTATACAAATTGTCACTGTTAACAAACTCTACAAAATGCCTTATATCAAGAAAAAGGAAGCACCAAAAGTAAAACGACGCTATTGCAAAAAGAGCAGTTCAAATTGATCAAAAATCAAAAAGAAGAAAAATTAAAAGAAAGGAAACATAAAATAAAAATTACAGATGAACATCAGCGTTTCTTTGAACTTAAAGTTGAAGAAAATCCTAAAATCTAAGAAATTTGTGTGAACTTCCAAGTGAAAACACGTCCATAATTTATTAACAAACTTTAATTTCTTTATCTTGCGAAATCAAGGTCATTCAAAAAAAGGAAGTCGTTGTACTTTCATTGCTGACGGTAGCTGGGGAGCAAATCTGCATCTTATTAGATGTATCAGTAAGATACCTAAAGATACCCAAGGTACCAGTACCAGTACCCAAGGCGATCATTTAAAAGAGAAATGGCTAATGAGTTTGTTAGGCAATGCTTAAGGAGACCTCAGGATAGCTAATAGTTGGGATTTAGTCATTGATAATGCTTCTTGCCATTGTGGCGTTGAACAACTGTTTGAAGAATAAGAATTTTTTCATCATAAACTTGTAAGGCTAAGTCTTTACAGTCCAATGCAAACTAATGAATGCGCTTGGTCAATTTTGAATGTTCCTAGTTCTAGGTCTAGTGTTAGTTCTACATTTAGTTCAATACAAATATAGAACTAAAAGTAGAGCGAATAAGCGATCTTTATTGATTTTTGGGTGTTGAATCCGAGAAAAATTCCGCAAATTTAATTTTTTTTCGCACAAATTTTAAGTAGTATTATGTCATTACGCGTTTTCCTATTTCCTTTGATTATAATAAAAGGAAACAGGACAATTTTATTCTCCCGACAATTTTTGTTACATTTGTAGTGAACTTGTCATTAAAGAACACCAGAGAAACTTTACAGACTTTGTTAGGAAACTCCTATTTCGGTGTGAAACTTGGGGCCCAATTATGGACACCTCGCAAAGTGTGTTATATTTGTCTAGATCTAAGGAAGTGGTCATCAGGTAAAAAAAATCATTCAAATTTGGCATTCTGATGATGTGGAGGGAACCAAAAAATCACAGTTATGACTGTTATTTTTGCTACTATGATTTTAATGGCTATAACTCTAAGAATAAAAGAGATATGGTGTACCACAATCTTCCTTCTGTAAAGCGACCTGTAGCTCATGGACCAGATGTGATTGTACTTCACCCTCCAGCAACGCTAGGTAGGAGATGAGCTCTCCAAGATCCTTCAGATTATGCCACCCCACAACATTTTGCTCAGTTTGAGCTTGGTGATTTGGTGAGAAACTTGGGACTTACCAAGGAGAATGCCGAATTCTTGCGTTCTTGAAGGCGCCTGTACTTCTGCACACATATACTTCCTTTTCTTCTAGGGTATTCTGTACACCTCAAAGAAAATTACGAGAATTTGAAAAAGGTGCTAAATAAAATTAAATATACAGATCATAAGTGGATAGTTTGTGGCGATCTGAAAGTTTTGGGCATGATGCTTGGTTTGCAGGGAATGAACACTGGACTAAAAAATTATGGCCAACCCAGCAAACATTGTGGCCAGGTGAAAAGAATGTTTTCCACAAAGCTGTAGTCAATCCTAGAAAAATTTGTCTTTCCCCTCTTCACATCAAGTTAAGACTCATGAAACAAGTCGTCAAAGCTTTACCCAACACTGGTGACTACTTTCAATACCTCTGCACACAGTTTCCACATTTGTCAGAGGCAAAACTAAAAGAAGGAATTTTTGTAGCTCCTGACATACATAAACTAATACTTGATGAGAAATTTCGGTACACAATGTCAGGTGTTGAAAGAGAAGCTGGGAATGCTTTCAAAAAGGTGATCACTAGATTTTTAGGGAATGAAAAAGACCTGATGAGCAGAAAAGTTCACCTATATTCTTATTTGGATTTTTACCAGTGAAGGGCAGAGTAAACCTTTCCATCAGGATATTAAGGTTATGGAGAGGAGATATCAGGATAGGTCACTTCATCAATAGAATTCAGATGTTACTCACAAAAGGAAAAGTAACAGTCATATTCATACCAGTTAGTTCTAGTTTTTCCGCGGTAGGTGGTGGGAAAAAACTGTTGTCATTTTCAGATTCAGCACCTTTCAAAACTGTTAGATCACCCTAAATAATCTAAAAAGTTTTTATGACATTAATTTTTGCAGGCCTGTGTTATTGTTTAATTTATTGATCTAAAACTAGAAGTACTAGACCTAGGACTAGAGAGTTTCAGTCTTCAGACGCACAGCTCATCCGGAATGTTTCTAGTCCTAGGTTAGCTCTAGTTTTAACTGTTATTCAGCGCTAGTTTAACACATTAAAAATAATTTTCTGTATTAATCCGTTATATCAAGATTTTACAATATTTGTTGAGAATTGTTTTTCAATTTTTTGTATTTTAGGGAAATTGGTGGAAGCAGAATTAGAGTGACTTTCGCTAAACCTAGGACCAGAGGATCTGGACGTAGATTTTTCAATCCAAATATGAGATGTTATCAGTGTGGATACACT